TGTGTGTTCTGAAAAGCCTAGTGCAGGGCCTTATATACACCTAGTGCTCAATAAATGTCATGGTTGGATTCATGTAAGTTGCTGAATCACTGCCTTGCTGTTTCACTGGACCTCATATTAGATACAACAAAGAAGTTATTATTTGTGACTTTGCCTGAGATGGCATGAGATCTGCAGAGTGACTACTCTGCCTTTTATTTTAAGATGGCCCCTGATATTATCTCTTGAATGTGCAGGTGACTATTTACCTGAATTGGCATCAGGCTACTGTCATCTAGGTTATCAATGGGAATGCTGGAAAATGGTACAATACAGCACCTTCAGGATCTTAAGACAATCAACTTACTCTGCAGAAAATACTTTGCCTATTTCTCAGAAGACTTAAAGGGGGAAAAAAGGCTAACTTTTCAAGAAATGATCCAAAGGTTGCTTAAGAGCAAAACCTTAGTGTGGGCATCCATGTTTGCCTGCTTCCAGATACTCTCAGGTTACTGATCCCTTTGTTTAAAAGTTCTGCTCCTGGGTACTGGGCTCCTCATACTTCCCATCAGAACAGTCTTCAGATGGCATTCATTTGGCATAAATCCAGTTTTAAATCCCTTTCACTTCCTCTTTGTCTTCCTGTATCCTAGGTCCTTAAGACTTTCTGCCAGTGGACTGCATAAACCATCCCAGGTTCACAAATCAACATATGCTCATTGCCTGTGAGGATTCATACGGAGTACTTCTTTGCCTGGCAATACCTCTGTATTTTGTTAGGGATCTGTCTGACAGAATACCTTCACTCAGATGAATGACTTTCACACCAAAGTTTTCAGATCCTGTGTTGGCCAATGGACAAAGGCTTTGAACCTGTTTTTTGTTTTTGTTTTTGTTTTTTGTTTGTTTTTGTTTTTTTAGCACACTCAGGCAACTTGCTATAAATGATGCGTTGGCCCTCAGCCACAGAAAAAATTTCCTTGCCTCACCTGTCAGTCAGGATATTCCCTCCCTTCTTTGAAAACTGGGCAGGAAGTAAAGTCAAAATGTTTTATTTGAATCTTCATCTACCTTCTTACACTGTGGACTAGAAGGACCAAAGGATAGCTGTGAGCATAAGGCAGCCAGGTTCAAAACAAAGTCGCAGCAGGGAAGAGAGCAGCAAAGACTGTTGAATCAAGACACTCCCTATGTGTATCCTGATCCCCTTGGATGAAAGCATACCAATAAGCACTTACCCTGGAAGGCTCCAAGTCAGAAAATGAGCTGTCTGAGTTACATGTTAGAAATGCTGAGAGCCTACTCCTTGATTAAAGTTTCAACATGATGCACATAGACACATGAGAGGCTAGAGGCTGAGGCAAAAGAGAGAGGGAAAAGTAGAGAAAGGATAAGAGGAGGCTGGCCAGAAGGAGGGAATAAAAGGAGGGAGGGAGGGAGGGCGAGAAGGAGGAAGAGAGAGAGAATGGAAAATAATCCTACTGCATGTAATGAGGTCCCACTGGACTAGTCCTACCTTTAAATCAAAGCCCCAAAGGCAAAAGCTGAAAGCTCACATTTCCCGAGTCCAGGCCATCCCAACGGGTCAGAAAACACCTGACATCTACTTCCACAAAATCCGAGAGACATCTCCCAGGAGCCCAAAGCATTTTGTTCCGAGGGAAAAGTGGGAAACTGCTGGTGCAGTACCTCACTGGCCTGGTTAGTCTCAGTCACCACTGAGAATTAGAGCTGGAGAGGTAGACAGCCAAAGGAGCAGTGGGGATTCTGGAATCTAGGGAAAGTCAGGGAGAACACTTGCCACAAGAGGGAGCAGTAGAATTTGGTCAGATGGGTAAATGCTCTTACTGGGGAAAGGGGGTGTTTAACTGTGAGTTTATAGTATCTAATCATGGAGTATGGATCCTTCTGAAAGACGGCTGAGCGAAAGACGTACATCCCTAAGTGACAGAAAGCAGCCCTTGGACCCCTAAATTCTTGATGAAAACAACAACTGAATTACTTGAAAGAAGCATATACAAGAGGTAAAGAACACGAAATGGGCAACCTGCTATAACATTGTCTTCTCTAAGTCTTTCTTGCTATAGATATAACTTCCGTTTCAGTCTGGATCTTGCTGATGCCTCCTCTTGCTTCTTTGCTGTGTATTGCTCTCCCTCTACCTAGAGCACCCAGGAAAAAAAGACTGGCCACACTGAACGGCAACATGGAAGGGACACACGCGAGTCCAGAAAACTGTGGCATCCACAATCACGAGCAGAACGCTGTCTTTACATCGCACATCTTTTCCCTTCTCTATCCATTCGGTTTTTCAGAGGAGGGATACAATTTATAGAAGCTACAGAGTTCTTCTCCTCATTTACTTTGTCAAAGAAACAGATTAAGCACCGAGAGGGAAGGAACCATGCGCTTACTTCGCAAGATAAATAAAAGTCTATTTTTGTCTGATAAAAAAACATGTTAAATATAGCTTGCTAACAAATGCTCCAGCTCCTTTCGGTGGATTTTATTGTTTCAAAACATAGTGAGCTTGAAGGAGCCAACTTCTGCAGTTCCTGCACATCAGGGTATCCCTCACCTTCCCCTCCTGTTTTAATGTGGGGTTAGAGCACCCACACTGCTCTATGCTCTTTCCTCCCCCTTCATGGTCAACAGAAATTCTATCTCGTAGTCTAAATCCAGATTGATACCACAGAAACCATTCTAGTAATAGGAAGGTCTACAGATAGACAGGGGTACATGAACCACAGCCTGACTATGCCTTTAGTCCACTACTCTCTCCTCAGCCCGGTTAAGCAGCTTTCAAGACAGAGTAGTTAGGACTGATCACCCTAGACACTTCACATCCTGTGCTACCTCTGTTCAGCTCAGTGGTGAATGAATAATGGTTTATCTCAGTTCACCTTTGCTTTTTGTTTTCTGCTCACTCTTTTTCTAGGAACTAATCATTTCTTTTTAATAAAAACACAACAGCCATTTTAAAAAGAGAAAACATCAGGGCTTTCTTTGTAGGGGGGGGGGAGTCTTAGTTAAAGAGTCCAGAGATCCAAATGGAACCCTCAAAGCAGGCCAAATGTGTAGAATGAAAATGATTTAAGAAAGCCCATTGGACAGAACGCAGTGGGTCCTTCCTCCCCCACCAGCTCACTCACAAAACCCTAAAGATGGAGCAGGCTGTCCTTCCTCCTGCCTTCACAACCCCGTTAACCTCCCAAATGAAGCAAGTTTGGCAAAACCAGAGAGCAAAATCCCAGTAACACAGGATTCGAAAGAGGAACCTAAGAACAGCCGGTCTTCTTCCGGCTTTGTGTTCTTATTGCAAATGAATGAAGAATCTAGATTCACCCTCCCTTCTCTGCCCCCCACAGAAGAGTCCTGCTGTGGGTGGTGGTGGTGGTTGGTGTGTGTGTGTGTGTGTGTGTGTGTGTGTGTGTGTGTGTGTGTGTGTTAGTGGAGCATACTTTCAGAATTCCCTCCAGGTTGCCCCCCTCCCACGCCCCCCCCTCCTTGAAAAATCTTCACACAGCAGGTCTAGGGGTGTAGAAGATGTTCAGCGGCTCCTAGCTGGGTTACTCCAGCAATCTCTGGAAGCAGATCTGATCAGAAATCTCCACCTCCTCAGCCGCCGGCTGGGCTCCATGACCAGGATGCCTGAACTGTCTTTAGCGCATCTGTCATTTTTTGAAAAGCCTCTTCCACTACACCTCCCACTGATATCCTTTTTTTTTTTCCTTCTCATTTTAGTCTTTACACCTCCAGCAGGACAAAGTTTGTGTTGTTATATTCACAACCACTAGTGGCTGACGAGCAGAGAGCGCCTTCCAGGGTGCCAGGCTAAGGGGGGTTAAAACCATACCTAGCACAAAAAGCATGACTTTCTGCCCATGATCATAGATAATATGCACATTGCTCTCGCTTTCCAAAAAAAAAAAAAAATGCCTTGTTAAATTGGATCACTGCTGCTCTTAACTCAAGCACCCCCTCTTTATCTGGGGAGCGAAGTAGGAACTGCCAGCAAGTCATTCACCAGACAGAGACCGAATCTATGGATCTTCAGGGGGACAGGCTGGGGGGGGGGGGGTAAGGGGGAGCAAGGATGCAAGCACGCACATATGTTGTATTTTTTAAAGCATCTCCAAGATGGATTTGGTTTCTCTGGCGGACTGTCCTGCTATCAGACCTCCCTCTTCCTCGAGAAGGAGGAGCCAAGAAGGAGATCCTTGAATCTCAGAATACTGGCCATTTCCCCAGGAGCCAGCCCAGCCTCAGTGGCAAATAATGCAGCTGTGAAGCTCCCTTTGAATCTCTGGGTAAAGACGCCGGTGTGTGCAGAATCCCCGAGCACACGCCAAGGCACAGTGCCCGTGCACGGGGAATCCTACAGCCCATTCCCCACCGCATCTCTCCCTCCTCTTTCTCTGCTACCCAGCCACACCTCCCTCCCCTCTGCAGTCCTCGGCTAGTAGCACCCAGCGCCTGCCAGGAGAGGTGGCTCACAAGTGGAGCCTTGGGGGAAGACCCCAGGGATTACCGGGAGGAAGGGTGACCGACCGTGAGAGGAGCCCAGTGGGTGGAGGTGTCTGGCTTCCCAGCTGCGCCGCTTGCTTTCCGGGTGGACTTAGCTCTTCGCGCCCTGAATCCTCCTCGCAGCCCAGCACAGTCCAGGGTGCAGCATCCCTCCCCCTATTCCGCTCCCCCCCAGCCCCCAGCAGCCTTTTCTTCTCTGGCAATCTACACTGGCAGGCGGGGACCCTCACGCCCAAAAAAAAAACCACCAACAGCCTGAGCAATTTCACTCTAGGAGAAACGCGGACACCCAGAAAATGTGCAGGCGCGCGCTTGCACACACACACACACACACACACACACACACACACACACACACACACACACACACGGAGGAACAATTCAGAAGCCAGCCCTTTGGCTTCAACGAAGAGAATTCGCTGCCTAGGGAACCGCAAAGAGAACAGTCCCCTTCTTGCCGTTTTGTCGCTGCCTGCAGGGTACCAGCTCCTTACCTGGGCTGAGCCTTGTGGATGGATTCCCTCCCGGGGTCCTGCACGCCGCCGCCGGGCGATCGGGCGCGCTAGCTCCCTTTGGAGACAGCTCGCGATCAGGAAGAGGTCGCTCCCATCCTCGGCTGGAAGCACAAAGCCGGCGGCGGCGGCGGCGGCTCGAATCCCG